GGCTCTGCCTCCTGAGTGCTGGGATTAAAGGCGTGCACCACCACCACCCAGCTTATAAATTTAATTTTTATTTTAATTTTTATTTTTATTTTTATTTTTTTTAAAGATTTATTTATTTATTTATTATGTATACAGCATGTATGACTGCAGGCCAGAAGAGGGCACCAGATCTTATTACAGATGGTTGCGAGCCACCATGTGGTTGCTGGGAATTGAACTCAGGACCTCTGGAAGAGCAGTCAGTGCTCTTAACCTCTGAGCCATCTCTCCAGCCCCCAAATTTAATTTTTAAAGCCATGTCAAAGCCTGGCATGGTGGCACATACCTGTAATTTTAACACATAGGAGGTAGAGGTGGAAAATCAGGAGCTCAAGGTCATCCTTGGCTATATAGGGACTTCAAGGTCAGCCTGGGCTACACATACCTCAAAACACAAAAGTAAGTCCTGTCCACTTGCTATTGGAAATGAGATGTCATTTAGCCAGGATTGAGGCAGAGGACCACTGCCACAAATGCCGGAAGTTATAAAAATCACTGTGGTGTGTTCAGTCCCCTTGATGGTAACACGTCACATAAGGAATAGCAGTGGAGTGTCTCAGTCAATGGCTGATGACATACTGTCATCATTCTCAGGCTCATGAGAGTAGATTATAGATAGGTAGCAGGAAATAGCCTGTTACATTTACTGGGCACCATCTCCTCCCATCCAGGTCCCAAGGAGGCCTGATTCCAGGCGCACTCCGAGAAGGAGAACACTATCCAAGTCAGAGAACATGTTGCATTCTTCAAAGTGTTGTACATGTCGCCCCATCAAACCTCCATGACCCTTTAAGATGTCTAGATAAGGTCAAATTTCCATCCCCAGCAGAGATGAGGAGGCAAGGGTCAGAGCCCTACAGAACAGAAGAACTGGAGTATTGCCCTCCCTAGCTCCACAGAGAGGCAGAGAGAGGCTGGCAAACTATCAGAGACCCACCAACAAAAAGAGGACAATTGAGCTTTCAGCATATTTGAGAAGATAGGATGTAACCAGGTCACGCTTCGTTAGGGCTTCCTGTTCGGCTGTTGATGACTAATTGGTTGGCACCAACTTGTACAAATGGAGAAAACTGGGTAGAAAGGACATGATCCAAGTAACTGGGGCAGAGGAAGGATGGAATGACCTATGAGGAAATTCAACTTGGTCCTTTACTGTCCTGCCAAAACCCCAGATAGAGCCCTGAACCTACTGCTCAGCCTAAGCACAAAGAGCTTCTCCAGATGTCCACAGACTGCCCCCTCCCAGAAGGCTGGGGGCGGGGCATGGGTGAGCTGTCAGTCATGAGCACCTTCAGTCACTGCTGCCCTTTCACGTGAGCGTCAGTCAGTCACGGGAGAAAGAATGTCAACTTAGCGGGTCCTTGTTTATTCTTTGTATCTTCCTAAAAACAGTGAGGTGAGGCGTAATGCTGGGACGAAAAAGAAGCAGCACCGTCTTCAGTTCAGACAGGTGATCCGGGCCTGTGTAAACAGGACACATGCGCCAGGCACAAGGACACGAGTGACAGGAGCCCAAGCCGCTTCCTCAGACTTCCAACCAACAGGGGCTAGGAGAGGTGACCAGCCTTAGAGAGCCTTCGGGCTCAAGCCTTCTCGGTTACAGAAGGAAAGGGCCTGAGGGCCGGAAGAGCACTCAGTCCAAAGGTCTCATGCTATGAACTGAATCATAAACGGGCTCCACACTTTGGCCTAATGATTTTACTTCTGAAAATTCATTCTCAGAAATTGACCCCAAATAGGGAAAATAATAAATATATGCCACTGTTCGTTGTAGCGATTTTTTTTTTTTTCCATTGAGGGAACTTGGTTTGTATGTTGGGTTAAATCAGGAAGCAATTTCAAGGGAGAACCTGAATATTCTTGTTTTGTTTTGTTTTGTTTTTGTTTTGTTTTTTGTTTTCCAAGACAGGGTTTCTCTGTAGCTTTGGAGCCTATCCTGGACTAGCTCTGTAGACCAGGCTGGCCTCGAACTCACAGAGATCCACCTGCCTCTGCCTCCCGAGTGCTGGGATTACAGGCGTGCACCACTACCACCTGGCCAAATGTTTTCTTTTCTTTCTTTTTTTTTTTTTTTTTTTTTTTTTGTTTATTCAGAGCTGAGGACCGAACCCAGGACCTTGCTCTTGTTTTAATATAGTAATGTTTTAATTGTTGAATGTTTTTGAAAGTTTCCAAAGAGCAGACAAGAGGGAAAAGTGAAATGTTATAGCGCACATCTACTTAACGGATGATGAGGAAGACACTGAAAGGTGACCATGTAGATGACAGAGAAGTGTGTACAGGAGGCAGTCCGTCCGAGATGATGCACAATGCACACCAACCTAACTGTAAAAGCACACACGTGAGCAGAGCACAAGGCTGCCTACAGAGCACACTTGGGATCTGAAGAAACTCAAGGTGACATTCAAGTTAACATCTCCACATTTTTGCACTGTTGACTTACTGTAAATACACACACACACACACACACACACACACACACACACACACACACACTCTCTCTCACTCATTGAAAGCCCAATCCGTCCTGTTCTTATGAATGAACCATCTGTGGGTCAGTGACCAGGTCCAACCCAGCATTATCAATAGGTCAAATATGTCAATATATTGAACTGCAAATCAATTTCAGACAGTGGCCTTCTTTTGGTCTTAATGTCATTCTGAGATTTCCAAACATGGTTCAAGGGTCTGACGAGTCATCTCTGCAGGCAAGCATGTCCCAGGACCTTGTCAACTTCAAGCAGGAAGTGTGCGCACTGCCTGGCAGGAAGCACGGTGAGAATCACCACTCCAACAATGCCCTTTGCCTTGTGACAACTGGTTTTGACCTGTGGAGGAATGTCCTCCAAGCTGTGACTCAGACCAACTACAAACCAGCCTACCCACAAGCCAAGGGACTGCTGGGTCCTTGCTTAGGGTGGCTTCCTGGGACTCTGACTTTCTTACTTTCCATGGTGAGGGAAGGAACTCAACCCAGGAATTGACCAAGGCTGGCCTTTCTTCCAGAAGGGTCTGGTATACACCAGTGGAGCCTGTGGGTTGGTGGACAGACGTGCTCCAGACTTATCCCAGGCTAGACCAGAAGGCCAGTCACCATAAGGAGCTAAGGAAATGAAGTAAAGGTTCCAAAGTTTCCAAGACCCCCTTAGGGGCGGCATCTCTGCCACACAGGGAGAAACTAAAGTGAGCTCTGAAGCAGGGCGGCAGAGGGCTTTACGCTCCTCAAGTAGTCAGCAGAGGGCTCTACAAATCTACTCAACCAAGGACAGAATAAAATAATTGTTGAAACAGAGGAGTTTCTACTCTCCGGCTTGCCGCTGGCTCTCCCGGGAATGCAGTCAGAGGGAGTTCACTCACCAGCACGCGAGGGCTACAAGGGACCACACTCTCTCACACATTTCAAAAAGCATTTTGAAGGCTCCAAGAGGCCTCTGCCAATTTCAGCTTGATCCTCGCTTCACTTTTAATGCCTGGATGACCTTGGCTGAGTCTGGCTGCCTGGAGGACCGCTTTTTCTCTCAACCGAGATGCTACACGCCTTCTAAGGGCAGCAGCCAGCGAGTGACCAGTGGAACAGGCTGGGCTCATTTTAGCTCTCAGGAGAGAGTCCTGATTTCATCAGTCAACATAGCCCATCTTGATTTTGTAGACTGGTACCTGGGGCAAAGCAGCCAAAAACCCACACCATTCACAGGACACCACTGGTCAATAGCACATGCTAAAAAAATTACAACTGTATAGAAATTTACATTTCAGCCATGCCTGGTGGCATGACCTTGGAATTCCAGGTACTTGGGAGGCTGAGGCAGTAGTCTGAGACCAGTGTGGGCTATAGAATGAGACCCTGTCTCAAAATAAAGAAAACCCACATTGCTCTTGGTGCCTTTAATTTTATGTGGTTTCAAACAAATGAATAATCAAATGCACTTTGAAAAGTTCTGATTCTTTACAAATGACTCACTTCCATTGTGGCCTCGCCCCTAAATGGCCCTGAATTGGGCATAAAGTTCTCTGAGCTTTCTAAAGACTTCCATGTCCCACATTTGCCAAGAACTTCTGACTGAAAGGCAGGACTCAAGACAGTAAGAAATGTGGGGGACTTGCTACCTTTTCCCCTCTGAGATTTTCACTATAGGCTCCCAGTATCTTTTCTAATAAGGTCTCTTAAATATTTTCTTTCCATGCTGGGGCTTGAACCCGGGACCTCACACAAGCTAGGTAAGCACCCAACCACTACCCTACTCCCAGAGCCTTAATTCCTTTTGGTGTTGTGAGGGAATCAGTTGAGTCTGCCAGTGTAGACGGCCAGACACCTCAGTCCTTACCTTCTTGATCTGATCCTCCTTCAGCTTGCTGAAGTAAAAGGCCATCAAGTGGACTGCAAACATGTTTCCGAGTTGGGTTGTTCCTGAGACGGGCCGAGATTTCCGTACCGTTGCTGCTCTCCCTCTGTGGAGTGCTGCACACCTCTCGTTCAGGCTGGGAGCAGGGTGCTAGAACTAAATACTCCCAGCTGCTCGGTTCAATGATTAAACTTCGCCCGTCTCTGGTCCCTCCCTCTGCCACACACTCAACTGTCTAACAGGAGGCTCTGGGGGAGCTGCGGGCCAGCCGAGGGGGAGGTTGGGGATTGATGGGTTGACTATTTGAGAAACGGGCACCACAAAACCTTGTTGCCAAGCAACACTCTCACGCCAGTGCCTCAAGCCCACTCAGCCGAGGGAAATCTTATGAGGAGTTGGGGGACAAAACACAGCCAATTTTAAGCAGTGGGGCTGCTGGGCAGGTGAATTCCAGTCCCAGGGTTCCTCTCTTCTCCTCAGCAGGGCAACAGAACTGCATACTCCCAGTCCCTCTGAGGCACCGTCTCAATTGAGGCTGAGCAGATTCCAAAAATACTGAGACCATTCCTCTACCGTGGAAGATAAACCCTTAGCTCGGTTAATGAAAAACAGTCAGTATTCGACAGTGGTAAGCCAGGCAGCCTTTATTTCACAGGGAGTAACTTGGGGCTGAGCAGGGGTGGGGTGGGGGGTGTTAGGAGAGAATGGAAGCCACCAGGCCTCACTGGAGGTGCTGCTGCAGAGAGACACGGAGGTCATGGGTGGGAAGGGTGTGCCGCCTTGAGACACCTGGTTCCTCACCCACCTCCCTCATCATGCACGATGTGAGAACCAAGACCGTGGTGCTCCTCCCGGTCACTGCCAGGCATGGGGGGCGGGGACTTCATTAGTCCCATCTTATAGATGACAAAGGCGGCCCTGAACTAAGTGACTTACTCAAAATCACACTTGTCAATGCTCAGCCAGGAAGCAGCCCCAGAAGTTCGATTCCAGGGCCCAACTCATGACCAGCACAAGCCCCTCTTCCTCGGCGCAATACTTATGTGGTTAACTAAGACTCTGCTGGGTTGAGTTTTAGCTAGCCTAAAAATTAACACAGGTCAGGACTTCAACAGACCCTTCCCAGCAGGGAACGGGGTTCCCTGAAAAACAGATCCCTGACTCTGCTCTCCCCAACACTAAGGGAATTCGCTGGAAAGTTAACAGCTGACCAGATGGCGGTGGCCACCCCTGAGTCATGTCTCCCACTGTCCAGGTGACCTCTGGATAAGCTCTGTCACTCTGGTCCGCTGACAGCTTTAGCTTTGTCTGCTTTTCTTCTGCCCAATCTTACCCATCAAAACAATGGCTGACCACTGCCGGCCAGGGACCTTCCACAGTTGCCTCTTCAGAAACCACCAGAAGTCTGGCTTAGGCCAGTCTGGATTAAACGATTACACAGTTCCACAGACTGACACAGCTACCTCCTGGATGGGGAAACCTCGACCCTTTCAGTCTGTTTACCCCCAAACTGTGAGTTTTATCTCCTTTGCTTATCTCGTAAGCAAACAAAAGGTTAACCTTCAGTTTCCACTCAGTCCCCAAAACGCACAACTGCTGGAATTCAGAAATGGCCCCGGACAACATCCTGGGCAGGCTGCCTGTCCAGGAAGGGTACTGTCACCTTAATTCCCTCTCAAGTGCCTGTGGCACCAACTGAGGTCATCCACTCTGGGCTGGGATACAAGGTGAGGATGGGCAGTGGGCACAAGGAAAACACTATAGCAGGGGTCTCTGCAGTCTCCAGTTGCCTGTGAGGCAGGCAGGCAGCCTGTGGACTCTCACCGAGGCAGAGGACACTAGGCTGTCCCTGTTATAAGGCACACCATCTCTCCCCTAAGCACATCTGCATCTACCTTCCAGGTGTGAGTCAGCTGAGTAACCTGGGAGGTTTAATGATTGTTAAAGATTACGTGCATCCAGACCCTTCAGCTTACAGTACCAAAATAAACTAAGTGGGTTGGCTTGCCATTTTCTCACACCTATCCCTGGGAATGTTTCACCTTTATTAAAGCTCTGTGCAGCTAGTCTAAAATGTCTGGGTGTCAAGTTGTGGACTTTGCTTAAGGACATATGTGAGGGTTCTCACTGTTGTAACAGCACCTCAACACAGGAAGTGAAGTTCTCTATTCACACTTGTCCACTTCCATAGAGCTCTGCTTTAACCCATGTGGCCTCGTCTAAGCCCAAAGCAACATCTGCTCTTCTCAGGCACTGAGCCTGACAGGTGGTCCAGACAGCCCAATAAAACCTTCCTAGTTAGGAAACACGTGGAGTTTACAAGGTGCTTTGCAGCTTTAATTCCTACAGCAAAGACCACACTCTCCATTTCGCAGATGGAGGAGTAGAGGCCCAGAGCCCCACCGGTATTGGGTGGAACAGAAATTCAAACCCAGGCAGCCTGGCATCAGAGCACAGGGACGTCTGGGGACTTGTCTGGAAAACAGCCCAGGCCCCAGTGAGCAGTGACATGCACAGGCCCTGGGTTCTCACTCTGGCTGTCCCTTCCCTCAAGGTGAAAGGCCAAGGCCATATTTTCACAACCACCCTGCTGGTCACTCTGACAATGGAGGCAGACTGGAGATCACAGGAAAGGAGGGTAGCTTACACTGGGCACACCAAAATCATCACCTGACTGAAGTCTTCTCAAGGCTGGGGACCCCTCCTAAAACTCCTACTTCCTAAAGAATGCCACCAGACCTGTTACTCATCCCATGGTCCCTGAGGAAAAGAAAATGTGTGTAGCCCTTTCCATCCATTCAGTAAAACACATCCATAAACCATGAGAAGGTACCAGTTCCACTCACAGGGTGATAGGCAGTCAGGAACGTTGTCAAAATTCCGCTACTGGCTGAGTATGGTGGAGCACGACGTTAGTCCTAGCACTCAAGAGGCAGAGGCAGGCGGACACCTATGAGTTGAGAGCAGACTGGTTTACATAGTCAGTTCCAGGCTAGCTGGGCTACACAGAGACCCTGTCTCAATAACACATCATGATGTCTACACTGTGTTGCTTGCAAAGTAAGTCCAAAATTAAACTGTTCACAGCACAAAACAGTCTGAGCAAACGACACTCAGCTGACTGCACGAGAATGTGTGGGAACAATGTCCGCACACAGGAAACCAATGCAGAAACTTCCAAACTGCCGCCATGACGGTGACTGCTGTGTCTTCTCGGGAGTAATCACAAATGAAGCCAGTGTTCGGCAGCTTCCTAAAGAATGCCACCAGACCTGTTACTCACCTAGAAGAGAAGGGATGCTTAGGAAGAAGTTAATGCCCAACCCTTTTTAAATCATACCCAAACATCTGCAAGACATGACAGGAAGACAAACCCATTCAAGGAAACGCAACTCATAGGGCAGAAGATAACCAGCCTGTAGAAGCAAATGAGACTTCTGATTAGACATGGCATAAACCCAAGTGCACAGGGCTGATGGAGAGATGGCTCAGCGGTTAAGAGCACCGACTGTTCTTCCAGAGGACCTGGGTTCAATTCCCAGCACCCACATGGCAGCTCAAAACTGTCTGTCTATAACTCTAGTCCCAGGGGATCTGACACCCTCTTCCGGCCTCTGGGGGCAGCAGACATGCACCTGATACATAGACATACATACAAGCAGAATATCCATACACATAAGTAAAAATTTAAAAACAAAACCAAAACAAGATCTAAAACAACAAACTGAAAAATAAATGAACAAACAAGAAAAGCAAGAGAAACTCCAGGATCTAAAAGCCAAAGCCACAGGGAAGGGCCCACAGGCCACAAGGAGACTTGAAATGGGCAGAAGGCTGTTCCTTGGGCCTGAAATGAGGTGACTCTCTTGTGTTACCACTTAAACACCCAGGTTTCCTGACACATCTCTTGCCGTGTGTAGTGAGAATGAAGTGTTGTCCTGGACTCTGCTGTACATTGCAATAATCTTTTTTAAAACAACAAAACATCGTTTCCAGTTTACATTCAGCTAGTCCTACCTTAGCTGTGAGTTTAAAGGAAACCCGCTCTGGAATCCTGCCTGAGCTTGCTGCTTGTCTTTGCTGTACCCTGAATTCTGTAGCTACTCTGAATTAAGCCAACTCATTTAAAAGGCAAAACAAATAAATGTAATTTTTAAAAGTTTAAAGACACTTTTGTGAACATTACACATTACTTACAGAATTTTAAAAATTAAATTAAATGGGTGTTAGGGACACAGCTCTATGGTAGAGCACTTTCTTGGCATGGCCAAGGTCCTAGATTTGATCCTAAAAGAACCAATCCCCTGTCTCATCACAATCTGCTCCAGGCACTGTGGATTTTCCTGCAAAGAATTATCAACGTTACTGTATGTACTTAAAGGTCCTATGATGGCAGTTTAAGAAATCACTGCCCGCTCCTCTGTCCATCCCTCCCTCCCTGCAAGTCTCAGCAAACCCTGTAGGAGATGTAAGAGCTGGAGGATGGGGAGGCGGGCTGTGCAATGCTGTCCTGAGACAGGACATGTCTGTTGCATATCAACTCACAGCAGCTACCTGCACAAGACCTATAGAAGGTTAAGCCAGTTAAAAATTCCAGCATGGGGTGCAAGGGGCAGCAGAGGCAGCTGATGGCTGCTGGGGGAGGGAGAGCCACTTTTCTTCAGAAGGGTAACCACTGAGTAGATTCCCCAGGCCCCAGTGGATGGTTCTACACCCATATGCATATGAGCACTAACTGGATTCAGGGGGTTGAAAAACAATAAAAAAGGAGGACATTAAGTGGGGAGGAAGATGTGATGGGGAGTCCTGGGTGAAGTTGAGGGAGGTATGGAGGGGTGGATTATGAACAAGATATATGGTATACATGTATGAAAAATTCAGATAATGATGATAATAAAGGAAGCTACTAAGACCCACTAAGTACCAGACACTCCCACCAGAGCACACAGTGAGAACAAAGAGGTGATACTCTTTAGGCAGATTCTAAGACAGTAGTCTTAAAGGGCAAACTCTAATTATGCTAGAAACAATTTCTTAAATTTGGTCTTCAGGCTGAAGATGGCTCAGTGGTTAAGAGTACTTACTATTCTTCCAGGTGGCCTAAGTTCACACCCCAGCACCCACAGGATGTCTCACAACCACATACTTGCAACTCCAGCCCCAAGGGATCTGATGCCCTCTTCTGGCTTCAACAGGCATGCACATAAGTAGCATACACTCACACAAACACACAAAAATATGTAAACTAAAATGTTTTAAAATATTTGGTCTTTATCAGAGAATTTAAAAGATAAAAGGTAAATGTCTTCAATGCTCAATCCTACATTTAGAGAGCAGTTCTGTTTATAAAAACCCAGGTTTCTAGCCAGTGGTGGCGCAGGTCTTTAATCCCAGCACTCAGGAGACAGAGGTAGGCAGATCTCTGAGTTTAAGGCTAGCCTGGTCTAGAGAGCAGGTTCCAGGATAGCCAGGGCTACAGAGAAACGCTGTCTGGGTGGGGTGGGGGGGAGTTCATGTTTCTATAATCTAAAGCTTTCAAACAGGAAACTCTTAGCATGATATGTGAGCTTGTCTCTTAGCAAGCTTCGCCTCTCCATACATGTATGCACCAAACACACCACGTATGTTTGCTTCCGACTTTGAGATACAGTCTCACTGTGTAGCCCTAGCCACCCTGGAACTGGTACGGGACCAGGCTGCCCTCAACTCAGAGATCCACCTGCCTCTGCCTCCTGAGTGCTGGAATAAAGGTGTGTGCCACCATGACCAGCTCTAAATGTACTTGTCTGATCTAGACACAGAATGACTGCTTTATGATGGCTTGGAGCATGAGACTGACGATTTGTGCTGGCAGTACTGTGTATTTGCAAATCACAGGAAGTTATCTTTCAAAAGACCTAGTGTCATGCCGTAGATGTGGACTCACCCACAGATCTAATATGCAAAGTACTAAGTAGCTGGTTATTAATGGCAGCCAGATACGTAGTAACCACGTTTCTGTAAGCCCCCCAGATCTGTAGTGACAGAGCTGATCAGGATCAATACCTGGGCTTCAGTCCACACCTCATGCTGCTGTTCAGAAGAATCAACAATAATCCACCAAGGGCTCTCAGCCAGGTATTTAAAAACACATTAGAAAACTGCCAGGGAAAATGAAAACAGCTATGTTTTTGAAAGGATGCCATTACGATTAAAATAAAATGCACACGTGGGAATTAATACAAGCCCACAAAAAAGGTGACAGTCAAACGTTAACAAGACCAAGCTGCGGGGCTGGAGAGATGGCTCAGAGGTTAAGAGCACTGGCTGCTCTTCCAAAGGTCCTGAGTTCAATTTCCAGCACCCACATGGTGGCTCACAACCATCTGTAATGAGATCTGGCGCCCTCTTCTGGTGAGCAGGTGTACAAGCAGGCAGAATATTGTATGCATAATAAATAAATCTTAAAAAAGAAAACGAGACCAAGCTGCCCTCATGGTGACAATGTAAGCTCTCCGAGATCAGCCCAGCGCCACTCCAGTCAGTTTCCCGTCTGTGTTCCTTGGCATCATCTTGGTGACATCTCTAGGTTCTTCTGCTAAACCACACCCTCCTGCCCCTGAGGAGGAAAAGGGAAGGGCAAGAGCAAACGCTCACTGAAGAGCCTTCATCAGCTAAGCACTCAAGCAGCTCTTCCTGAGAGCCCCTGCCCTCCGCCGCCCACCAGAGGCTTTGGGAGACTAACCTGCCCTTCGTAAAAGCCCCGCTGTCTGCTTCAGTTCGTGGGGATTTTTTGAGATCACGTGGACAAGAATTATTATAAGTCACAGAGGAAAGTTAATTCTAGAAACGAGAGCTGTCCAGCCCAGGATACCCACACACACTCTCCAGGGCACTTCACTCCTTTACTCACAAGGAAAGAACAGTACTTCTCAGTCTTTGCTCCCATCAAGACAGAGGTCTGAGGTGAACACTGCCATCAGAACCGCCTGAGAAAAGCTGAGACACGTGACTAGCATATCTGGCTGTTCCTCGGGCCTCTACCATGGAGTCAGCTTTGATCAGCACATGCTCAGGAAACTGGCTTAATTCTTCGAATGACCTGAGAGTTCCATTCTCAGGCACAGTGGCCTAAACCTTCAGGCTCATCTAGCAAAACTTGCGGTGGGCAGGCTGGGACTAAACAGCCTACTGTCTGTCACTTAAGCATCCAGCAACCCTGAGCACGACTGCCCACTCCTTTACAGGCGTTGCATTGAAAAAGGCAGAACCGGGGCTGGAGAGATGGCTCAGTGGTTAAGAGCACTGACTGCTCTTCTAGGGGACCCGGGTTCAACTCCCAGCACCCATATGGCAGCTGACAACTGTCTGTAACTCCAGTTCTAGGAGACATTCACACAGACATACACACAGGCAAAACGCCAATGCACATAAAAATAAATAATTAAAAAAAAAAAAAGACAGAACCATGTCCATCCAACACCTAAGCTGATGCCTTTAAACCTCTAGCTACATTTTTAACCAGGGCAGAAGGAGACCATTATGCAACAGACTGGCCTTTAAACAGGGGTGACCTGACAGCACCGCTTCCTTCCCCATCACTTATTTCTACCCGTGTGTGCACTCATTTCAGAGTCAGACTGCTTCCACACAAGCCCACACAGTGGCTACTGCAGCACACTAGAGACACAGTGTCCTTGCCCTGCTGAGCTGTACTCCATCTTGCTAGTGTGTATTTCCAGCTTCTAGAACAATCTCTGGTAGTGGGCATAACCCACAGCAGTGTGTGTCGAAGAATTCCACCTGTGGCATCCTCAACAACAGGCCTAACAATCCCCCAAAGCGATATGACGTCGTGCAGGATTTCTGAAACAGCAGTGTCTCAGGGTTACTCTACAAGAGGCCATTAGGAACACTTAGGTAAAACCTCGAAGACACTATTTTAAAAGTTGGAATGAGTAGTTTGGGTGGCTCTAGGAATTTACTTTGCAAAAAAATATAAAAAAGTACAAGATGGCCACAATCCCACCACAGGCAGTGAATGCCATGTGCCTAAGGATTTAATATCGATTTTATTTGCAAAGTTAAAAAACCTATTCAGAGTTGGGGTCCTTCTTCTTCCTTCTCGTCCCGGCCTTCTCTCTGCCCTGCTCTGGTCGCTGTGTCAGCCACTCTTTCTGGAGCTGCTTCAGCATGTCTGCAGTGAGGAGTCCTTGCTGCACCAGCCTGGAAGCGAGGGGCAGCTCCCCGGCGCCGGGGCTGGGTGCCTCTGCCGCTTTACCCCCAGCACCTTTGGTGCCACGTGTCCTTCTTGCCGGGCTCTTTAAGGCTCCTGACAAAGTTGACTGGCTCCCTGAAGATAGGCTCTCCAGCTTCAAAAGCTTGCGTGACTCAGAAATTTTAATCAGTTTGGTGATGTTGTGCACACCATCTTGGATAATGACATCCAGTTCTTTTTGGAGATTTCGAACAAGGTTGGAGTCCGGGAACATATCCATAAATCGGTAGCTGGGAAAAGAACAAAGGGAATTAGAGCTACGGCTGGAAGCTGTGTTCAAATGCACCATCTGGGCCGAGGAGATGGCTCAGAAGATAAAGGTGACTGCTTCACAGACCTGGCGACCTGAGTGAGAGTCACGGGGCCCACAGGAAATACGAAGTAGAGAATCAATTCCAAAAAATGAAACAAAATGCACCCTGGCACGTGCATTTCCCACCTACCCCATCACACAAACATGCACACACACACACACACACACACACACACACACACACACACACACGCACGCACGCACGCACGCAAGAACGCACAGAGCAATAATTTTTTTTAAAAATGAGAATTTAGGTCTAGATGGAGCTGAAGTTCTTTACTTCTGAACAGTCCCCAAGGGACACTACTCTTCCACTAGCAAGGGTCTAGTCAACATCCCCATCGGCTGCTATCTTAGGTATTCCTGAAGTCTTCTCAGGAATGAGTATAACTAAACTCAAATACCTCCACAGAAAATAGAATAGACAGCACCCACCAAGTATCTCCAACTTGAAAGAACAGAAACCCACTCACAAACCTTTATTTGCCCTGCGAGTTAGAAAATTGAGAGCATAGAAAGGAGAAGGTTCGGTACCTCAGCCACAGGTAGAGATCAAAGACATCATGGACAGCTTCAAGGTCCATGAGGTCTTTAATATTCTTAGGCGGAAGCAAAGGCCACTTGATGTACCGGCGTAACCAAGCAAAGGTCAGGGGCTCATTCCTGCTATACTGCCTGGCAAACTGAGAGGAAAGAACAAAGTTTGGTAACATAACCAGCATCCTCTTAGGTCTATTTAGAAAGAAAAAGGAGGTGCAACCTGTTAACTGTGGCTGTTTGAAAAGACAAGCTGGTTTCCTTCCTGCTTGATACTTTCCTACTTTAAAAAAACATTTAATACTTTATAAGGGGTTATTTAGTTCAAACAAGGTCTTTTTTGGGCCAGGCTGGCCTCAAATTGCTATCTAACCAAGAGAGGCCTTGAATTCTTGATTCTGTTGCCTCCACCTGGGCACTGGGGTTATGGAAGTGTGCTACCACGTTCAGCTGAAAATGTTCATTGGAAATTAAAATGGGCCAGCAAGACTGACTCCTTAGGGAAGGGCACTTGCTGACAAGCCTAGTGGCCTGAGTTTGGTACCCAGAATCTGCATAATTTCTCAAAACCATCATCCCAAGTGTCATCTGAGGCCATCAGCAGACCGAGCTCCTAATAGTCCAGGACGGATGAGGTACCAGAATAGGGAAAGCCTCTAGATTTCACAGCTTCCAACAGAAGGCCTAAACAACCGCTGACTTGTACTCTTCCAGGGTCCTCTCCCTGGCAGAGGCTCCTGCTTTGTTGGAATTGTTGTTTGAAGAATGTTTTTTTTTTTTTTTTTTTTTTTTGGTTTTTTGAGACAGGGTTTCTCTGTGTAGCTTTGCGCCTTTCCTGGAACTCACTTGGTAGTCCAGGCTGGCCTTGAACTCACAGAGATCCGCCTGGCTCTGCCTCCCGAGTGCTGGGATTAAAGGCGTGCGCCACCACCGCCCGGCTGAAGAATGGTGTAAACAGGATCAAGGCCACAGGAAGCAGATCCAGTCATGTGAGCATGCAGGAGCTGAAAATTGCCCCACAACCTCCCCCTTCCCCTGGCTCTCCACCAATGACCTACTTCCTGGAAAATACGTGAACATGGACCTCTAAGGCACACTGCTAAGGGAAAGGGAAAGCGAGTTGTAGAACAATTCATGTTAACACCTATGGGAAAACACCCGCCAAACAGAACTGGACTTCCTACAGTACGTAGATACCATATGAAATAAATTAACAGCAGGTGTCCAGAGGCCTGAGGCTGGGGATGGCAGACAGTTTTAACCTTTCTGTAATGCCTGAATTTGGCATGTGTATTATTTATATATATATTATTATAATATATATATTACAATAACTTAAAAAGTAAATTCACAAATAAAGGTAATCGACATAGAGCTGATGAACAGAATGCTAAGGCCTATGGTGGAGATGTCAGGAAATCCAGAGAAACCTGAGTTTAGCAGCATGAGGTGAGCACCCAGGATGGAGCAGCAGGTACTTAAGGGCCAGACAGTTCAGTCCGCTGCCCTTCCTCCTAGAATCCTGTGCCCCTGAGACAGTTCAGTCCGCTGCCCTTCCCCTAGAATCCTGTGCTCCTGAGACAGTTCAGTCCGCTGCCCTTCCCCCCAGAATCCTGTGCTCCTCACACGTCACACCACAGCCCAGTATGAACAGATGAGAGGGAAGAAACGAGGACCACCGCCACCACCAAACCCTAATCCCTCCAACCGCTTATCTGTCCCTGTGCGTCAGATTTTGCACAGTGGCTTTCATCCAGGCCCAAACACAAGGTCACTTTATGTTTAAATTGTCACAAAGTGTCCTATATTTAGGGTGCTCTCCCAAGTGTTTCTTTTGGTGGACAAAGGACCGTTTGGAGGAAAATGGATCTACCTGGAACAACTCAAAACAGCACAGAGCTAAAGACGTACCTGTAACAGGGACGAGCAGACGAAAGGCTGTTTCTTGTTGATGGGGGCCGTGCAGAACACATACCTCACCCGCAGACTTAGTGGAATATGCTGGATCAACTCTGCAGAGAACTTAAAGTCATCCATATTGCAGACAAAATACTGCCCATCAACTTGTGCAAAGTCTACAAAAATATCCTGGGGGAAAATACATACGAAATTACTGAACTGAATGGATGTGACTATCCCACTGGGTGTGAATACAGAATTCACGCCCACAAAAGACAGCTCTTTAGTCCTTAGCAGACCTCAGGAGAGGTGTGCCGAACTTTCTGCTCTCTAAAGCTAAGACACTTCTCCCATGGTCTTCCTAACCTGAACTTCTTTTTGATACAGAGGCTCACTGCGCCCCCTGGGCTAGCCTCCAACTCTAGGGCCTCCAGCCGCAGTGTCCTGAGCACTGGGTTTACAGGTGTGCACTGCCATGTGTACCCAGCACTCGAATCCTTCAGAAGTTTGCACCAGTGATGCCCCTTTCATGGACGGCGACTGCACGGAGGCAGACTGTCCACTCTGGCCCATGCAGTGAGCCGGTACTGACACGGCATGTCAACAATTGGAGAAGAGAAGATTAGAGGAGCTTCCACCTACGATGAGATTGGACAGCGTTGTCTCAGGGAGATGGTAGGCAAACATTTCAATCTGCTCAGCAGTGGGGTGAAGACCAGCTGCCTGTAGAAGTAAAAGATAAGATAATTGTGAGCTGAGCTTGCCCCTTCATTTTCTGAATGGCATTTTCTTCTTTTGAAACAATGTCCTACATTAGGCTAAGTTCTTATCAAATGAGTCCCATGCCAAGAATTTCAGTACTAGAGAGAAAAAGACAAGACCAGTTGAAGTATTTACTGCAGTTAGCAAAGCTGATAGGATTATTTAATGAAAATGGCAGATTATGTAGCCTTCTGTCATGCTTTAGTCATTTGACCAGATTTGACAGAACAACAAATATGCCTTCAGGGATGAAACAACTTTCCAAACTGCAGTTCTCACTATTGACTAGGAGTGAACAAGGAAGCCGCAGCCATGAGACAACATCTACACTGGACGTCAACTGGCCCCTTATACTGCAGTGCTAAGCCACGCCCACAGCTGAGGATGAGGATGAGAGAGAGAAGTGGGGAGGAAGAACTCAAGACTCAAGCCCTAAAGGTCGTATGACGTCCAGAAATGAGGTGCACAGCAAGGAGAGAGGGCTGAGTACGCACTGCACAGGAGCCGTCACACCCAGGGACAGTCATGTCACCAGCCTCCACCCCATCACCTCACAGAGTTCTATCATCTTCCTAACAGATGAAATGAGCCACTGAAGCGAATTTCTAGAAACTTAAAATGTGATCCAATAGCCATGGATTGAACCACAGAAGTCCTTACTTGCAGTTGTATAACTCAGTGCTAAGTCTCTTGTCTAGTCAAGCTCAGTTCGTTCTCCACTTTATGACATAACTCTATGTGCACCCACAGCGAGGAAATCAGGCCAACCAGCCTGTTGACTCTGGATCTCTCACTTGTCCACGATTCTCTGTCTAAGAGGTACTGATGTCTCTCCAAACACTAGAGGAAAGCCTTGTATTTACTTTTAAATTATGGTGTGCATGCGTGCGTGCGTGCGTGCGTGCGTGCGTGCGTGCGTGCGTAGAAGATCTCTGAAGCTGGAGTTACAGGCAGTCGTGAGCTGCCTGGCATGGGTGCTGGCACTCTCGGCTGCTGAGCCATCTCTCCAGCCCCAAGGAGAGTTTTCTTGTCGTGGTCTCCCCAGCTCAGGCTGCCCTTCCGTCTCCACACACTGAGGCAGGAGACTAGGGAAGGAGACTGCCCTGCGCGCAGCGGGAGCAGTGACATGTGCAGCCTTACCTGTATAGGAGGCACAGGTCTGTTCAGAATCTCCTTCAGCAAAGCCAAGTCCTCCCGGTGCATTGTTGTGACCTCTCCCTCCTTAAAGTGGGAGCTGAACCTGCCGGCTCGGCCGGCAATCTGCAGAGCTTGGGAGGTGGTGATTGGCTCCAGCTCCTTCTCTCCCTTTTCATTGATGCTGGGCTTTATAAGGGAGTAAAAAATAATTCTCCTTATGCTCCTGAAATAGAAATAAAAGTGACCCCACAGACTGTACACAGCCCTGTCACTTGGGTCATCAAGATGTGCTCAGTCTAACTCTCCTTTAAGTCAAAATGGGGCTGGCTAGATGGCTCACCAGTTAAGAGTACTTGTTGCTCCTCCAGAAGACTCTAGAGTTCTATTCCCAGCACCCACATGGTGGCTCACAATCATTCAGAAATCAAGTCCTGGGGGGATTTGACACCTCCAGTTGTACCACATTAGGCAAACACCCGGACACATAAAATTATTTAAAAATAATTTTTTTTTGTCTGTTTACATAGTCCTTCCTTGGCTATGTTTGTTTGTTTGCTTTTTTTGTTTTTTCGAGACTGTTTCTCTGTGTAGTTTTGGTGCCTGTCCTGGATCTCACTCTGTAGACCAGGCTGGCCTCGAACTCACAGAGATCTGCCTGGCTCTGCCTCCCGAGTGCTGGGATTAAAGGCGTGCACCACCACACCTGGCTGATTTTTTTTTTTATCCTTAATGAGAAAAGCCCAGGCACTGTTGCACTCAGGAAGCTGAGACAGGAAGATTGTTGTGTGTTTGAGGGCTGATTGGGCTACACAATGACTTCTAGGACAGCCTGGCTAGTAAAATTTAAAAAGACGCTTGCTGTGAATTCTTTTTATTCATCTTTCGTTTTGTTTGTTTGTTTTTTGGTTTTTTTTTGGTTTTTCGAGACAGGGTTTCTCTGTGTAGCTTTGCGCCTTTCCTGGAACTCACTTGGTAGCCCAGGCTGGCCTCGAACTCACAGAGATCCGCCTGGCTCTGCCTCCCGAGTGCTGGGATTAAAGGCATGCGCCACCACCGCCCAGCTCGTTTTTGTTTTTTAAGACAGGGTCTCAGCGGCAGTGGTGGTGCCTTTAATCCCAGCACTCGGGAGACAAAGGCAGGTGTGGATCTCTATGAGTTGGAGGCCAGGTTGGTCTACAAAATCGAGTCCAGGACAGCCAGGACTGTTATACAGAGGAACCCTGTCTTGAAAAACAAACAAACAAACAAACAAAAAGGCAGGACCTTCCTGTTTGGGCCTATTGGGTGCTGGGGTTTACAGGCATGTGCTACCATGGCCAGCTCTCAAGCAAGAAGTCTGAATAACTGTGTATATTTACTTAAAATCACCCTTTGAGAGGGCAAACTGTATAGTATTTGAATTATTAAGCTAAAGAAAATGACAGCAGATAAAGTGCTCTCATACTGTGTTACAGCTTAGTGGTGCCAAGAACAGCGGCATAGCCCTCAAGTCCCAGGTACTTGAGGAGCTGAGGCAGAAAGACTGTCTGACCCAGGAGTTCGAGGCCAGCCTGGGCAGTGTAGTGCACCAACTGAGGGAACAGCTCAGTTTAGGAGCACTGGCTGCTCTTGCAGAGGACTTGAGTTCCATTCCCAGCATCTACATGGTACCTCACAATGATCTATAATTGCAGTTCCAGAGGTTCTGACCCCCTCAGTACCGCATACATGTGATGCACGTATATAACATGCAAGCAAAACACTCACACATAAAATAAAAAATTTTTAAATCCTTTAAAAAAATCAAAATCAAAACAAACAAAAAAGACAAACTGAGTGGTGGGCAAGAGCTCAAAGTCAGTGGAGCCTACATACTAAACTCAAGGCAGAGCAAGCCTGGGCAACCTAGCAAGTCTGTCCTAAACACACAAACACACACACACACACACGCACGCACGCACGCACGCACGCACGCACGCACGCAGCTGCCAAGAACTCTTAGGTTTCTGAGTCTTAACAGTCTGGCTGCTTTCACGATCTGGAGACAACGAGTGCCCCCCACTGGAGGTACTGGACACCGCATGACTAAGAGACCTAAAATAAAGCAAGGTAACAACTGATCTGCCCGAGTGGGGGAGCACTCCAAACCCCAGTATTCTGTGATAGTCTCTTTTATTTCCCAAACAAGTATAGAAAGATAAAGCTCAAATCTACATTGTTAATTCCATCCTAATTGATTAGAAAACCGAAAAACAAAAACAAAAAAACAAACACCTGCCTTCTAACCCATTGTTTATTATAAACAACAAATTACTTACAAATTAAGTCCCATGCCAATGGCATCTGTAGCTACCAGGATTTTGCATGGATCACTGGGGTCATTAAACTTTCGTGCTTGAGCGAGTTTGGTCCCTAGAAGGAATAGTTCACATTAATTCCATTTTTTTTCTTACTATGCTTTCTAAACATATCTCAACCTAAATGGCAAATATAAGAGATTTTACACCCAGTCCCAGTAAAGGCTAATTATTACCAGGTGGGAGGCTGCCATATATGACAGCAGATTCCAGTCCCCGAATTTCAATCTGTCGGCTCACAGAATAAATATCATTCTTGCTAAAACAGACAATGCAGTCCCCAGGCCGAAGATTATCTAAAGACTCCAGTGCATGATCCAGCACGGAAATGGGGGTAAGCCTTTCATATTTGTGAACCTGCAATAAAGACACACACGGAAAAGTAACACACTCAAGTCAGTACCAGATCACCGGAAAGTTTGCAGGCAATCAACTGAACTAAAGGCTGGTTAAGCATCAACTTTCAGGAGCAACACACAGAAACCTTCACTGGGATGCTGGGCTACCTTTAATTCTTCACATTGCTAAATTAATGTTGTGTCGACATCCTTAAAGAACTTTAACACACACTGATTTTTCAGGACAGCGTGGCAGCTTCAGAAAGGTTATGACTGATATTTCCATTTTATGACAGGGTAAAACAGTCCAATAAAATATGAGATCAGATCTTTTCAGCCTTCTGTTGTTTGCTGCAGACAGCGCCCAAAGCAGTGACGTCCAGAATTTGAATCCAGAATTTCTCCCACTGCATTCTACTCTGTCTCCCTCAAAGTACAGCACAAATTTGTTACAGGTTTAAAGCATGTCTACATTTCTGCAAAAACTAATCCTCACTGTCAGGCAGACGAGATTTAGAATCACCATGGAAACACACATCTGGGTATGCCTTATGGGAGTGTTTGTCAAAGGGTGGAACAGCAGGACAGATCTACCTTAAGTGTGAGTGACACCATCCCATGGCTGAGCATCCCATGAAGAGCAAAGCTGACTGAGCGCCTGTCAGTGGCTCTCTGCTCCTGACCCTGACACTGTGAGCAAAAGATGCCTGCCCGCCCCTCCCTCCTTCCCTCCCTCCCTCCCTCCCTCCCTCCCTTCCTTCCTTCCTTCCATACTTGTCTATCTGCCACAGCAATGAGAAAAGGAACAGATACAATTTTACTATCTTATTAAGGAATTCTGAATTCTGGGCAGTTTTTAAAGGAAATCAGTTTCTTCTCACTCCACATCTGCAAAACGGATACAAACTAGATCTGGCAATTACATAAATAACAAAAGCCTCAACGTGTGATATAGAGGACTGAGAACACTACAGACTTAGGCTGAGTCTCAAATTCAATAGTCTGACTCACTTAGCTCTAAAGAGACTTCAATTCATGAGCTGTGGATGTAGCTCCGTAGTAGAGCATGCATAAAGCCCTTGGTTCGATTCCCAGCACCATAAATAAGTAAATAAATAAACATATCTGGTTCAATCCTCCAAAGATTTTTATGAAATTGAAAGCTGAGCGTGGTGGTAAATGCCTATAATTCCAGCACTCAGGAGGCTAAGGTAGGAATTGCCATGAATTTAAAGCCAGCCTTGGTGAGACCGTATCTCAAAAGCAAAAAAACACAAAACAACCTCACCCCTCAAACAAATGAACAAGTTATTTTGTGAAGATGAAGAATCTCTCACACTCTTGGAAGACATAGGGTCATGGCCTCTCCATCAGAACGTCACATTATGAAGTTTACCATATATAGAGGTGATGTGGGATGGTCTATATGTCAAATGTGTTGCTGATTGGTCAATGAATAAATCACTGATTGGCAGTGGCCAGGCAAGAAGTATAGGCAGGACTAACAGAGAGGAGAAGGGAGAGAACAGGAAGCTGGGTGAGGGAGACACTGCCAGCCGCCATCAGGACAAGGAAGATGTAAAGTACCGGTAAGCCACAAGCCACGTGGCAAGGTATAGATTAATAGAAATGGATTAATTTAAGCTGTAAGAACAGTTAGCAAGAAGCCTGCCACGGCCATACAGTTTGTAACCAATATAAGTCTCTATGTTTACTTGATCGGGTTTGAGCGGCTTGGGACTGGCGGGTGAGAGAGATTTGCCCTGACTGTGGGCCAGGCAGAAAAACTCTAACAACATAGAGGAGCCAGTCAGCTACAAGAAAATAAAGATTCCCTTTTTGCTAAGCTCTGTTTTCAATCTTTCTTAAAACAATAGTTTTTAGACTGCATACAAATAAGGGGTCTCTTTATGCTGACTTCACATATGTTCTGGTACTTATTCATTGTATGTAGTTAAGTTCTGATTTTGCGAGCCTAGAGCATACAGGAGCCAGTGACGGGCACCCTAAGCTCTGTGGCACAGCCCTTGAGAAAGCAGCCCACAATTTCTTACCTCTACCTCCTCACCAGTTGTGTCCAGAAGCTCAGTGACCAGGTCAATAGCAGCAGATTCTCCGCACAAATGGACTTCTTCAGCACAGAGTCCTGTAAATGCACAGAGAGATTTACATTGCTCTGATGCTGTGGAACAATGCTTTTGTACACTGGTTTAATAAAACACTTAATTGGCCAGTAGCCAGGCAAGAAGTATAGGCGGGATAAGCAAACATGGAGAATTCTGGGAAGAGGAAGACTGAGGCACACAGGTAAAGCCACAGAAAACGTGGCGACATATGGATTAACAGAAATGGGCTCAGTTTAAGTGTAAGAGCTAGTCAATAATAAGCCTAAGCAATGGCCATACAGTTCATTATTAATATTAAGCCTCTGTATGTTTCTTTGGGTCTGAACAACTGTAGGATTGGGTAGGAGAAATTCGTCTGGACCGCAGGGCCGGGGCAGGACCAGAGAAACTTCCAACTACACTCTGTATTCTTCCGAATGGCACTGTAACTCTGTCCAATGTTTTCAGTTTCTCTGACCCAAGTCTTCTTTGAATGGGCAAAGATAGAGGCCAGTTTTATAAATTTACAGACTTTAAACTGCTCCAAACAAGGTCGACACCACTGTAAGGTGAGGCCAAGCAGGACCGGAGGTTGGCACTCTAATGTTTAATGATAGGTATCAGTCCTAGGCCCGAGTTCTTCAAGTCAGAACTCCATGGAAGCTGAGGTGCTTCAAGGAGTGGTGTGGGGGCTGGTGAGCAAAAATGTCCCCAAGCTCCTGAGCCTGAGCAGACCTATTTTTCCCCACTGTCTAACAGCAAACTCAGGGTTCAGCTGTTTGTTTTCAATCTGAAAATGCTGCCCTGCAACATGCTAGATCAAAACTCATTCCAAGCCAAGTATGGTGGGACTAGCCTAGAACCCTACACTTTACAGCTGGGGCAGGGGAACCTGGAGTTTAAAGTCAGCCTGGGCTACAGAGTTTGGGGAAGAAAAGAAGGAGGAGGAGGAGGAGGAGGAGGAGGAGAAAATCCACTTCAAAAATCAGGCAATACACTGGGCATGGTGGTGTACACCTTCAATCCCAGCACTGGGGAGGCAGAGGCAGGTGGATCTCTGTGAGTTTGAGGTTAGCCTAGTCTACAAAGTGAGTTTCAGGACAGCCAGGGCTACACAGAGAAACCCTATCTCAAAAAACAAAAAATAAACAAAATAAAAATCAGGCAATACACATGCATTCATGCCTGTGAACCTAAAGAATTCCACTTCTAGGACCCCATCCTATAAAACAAAAATCAAAAGTAAAAAGCTACATCCACCGATAATCCTACTGCAGCACTGTTGGTGATGAGAAAAATGTTCAGCACCAGGAAACAAACTGCAGTGCAGTACAGTACTGCTTCTCAACAGACAATACCCAGACACAGTCATTGATGAGAAAAATGTTCAGCACCAGGAAACAAACTGCAGTGCAGTACAGTACTGCTTTTCAACAGACAATACCCAGACACAGTCACCTGCAGAATATGAAACAACAGAACCAGAAAACAGCAAAACACAAAGTTCTAAGTCCTTCAAACAACACATGCATAAAAAGACTGACATGAACCATATCAAGACATTAACAGTGACTGTAAATATGGCAAGACAACTTTCTTTCCTTTTCTTTAAGGTAGCCCAGGCTGGCCCCAAACTTGCTGTGTAATCCATGATAATCTTCTCCCCTTCCGATAGTCCTGCTTCCTCCTCCCAAGAGCTAGGACAACAGGAATGTTCAACCATACCCGGTATGTGGTTCTGCGAATCAGGCCCAGGGCTTCATGCATGGCCTGATGGCAGCTACTCTACAGATTATTTATGTCCCTAACCTCAAATTTTAACTGTTTTGGTGCTAAGGATTAAACTCAGGGCCCTCCTATGCTAGGAGAGTGCTCTACCACTGGGTTATATCCTCCGAAATTCAAACATTTCTACTTGAGTTACTTGGTTGTGTTAACTTTATAACTCACAAAACAGGATTTTTTCACTATCAGAATAATATTTAAATAATATAAAAGCTTATACCTTTTCTCAAAAAGAGAGGCAGCGGCTGGCTGAAGCAGTCAGACACTCACCTAGCAGTGCTCTGGTCCAGGCCCATCCTCTGGCTGAGTCTCTAATCATCTGAATTTCATCGATCACAGCCACTTCATCTTAAAACAGAAGAGTCCCCATGAGCAATAAGCCACTTACACTGCAACACCAGCTCCCTCACCAGTCTCATTCATTACCACGGCTTACTGGGTACATCTTTCCTAGCAGGCTTGTTCTCAGTGGTTTGTTCCCCTTCAGAATCCTATGAGGTTATCTCCATTTGAATGGCAAGTAAACGGCGGCCCAGGGAAGTTAGACAGTATGTGTAGGGATAAGATCAAATCCAAGCCACCTACTCTCAACACCACACTCAGCCACTCTCCTCCACTGTCTCCATCTGTCCCTCTCTCTACAACCTCAGACACACCCTGCTAACTCTGCCTACTACGAATGACCACAGTGGGCTGGAGGCAGCTTGATGGGCAACAGAGTGCGTCCAGAGGATCGGGATTAGCGCCCTCTCTTAAACATGAGTGCACAAATACACACACCCACACACAATTAAAAATAAATCTTAGCGCATCGTGGTAGCACGAGTCTTTGATCCAGCAGTAGAGAGACAGAGGCAGGAAGACCTCTATGAGGTTGAGAGGAGCCAGGTCCATATAGCAAGTTCCAGGCCAGCCAAGGCTACATAGTCTCAACGAACAAACTAACACATCTACACAGTGGCAAAGGAGAAGACAGACACCTATGCGTCCAGGAGTGAGGAGTGGAGAGCCTTTCAGAGACTTAAGAAGCTTCCCCTGAGACCGCTCTCAAGACCAGCAGGTGCAGTGATGGAGGACTCCTCGGCCCGCGGGCTCTGCTCATGCTTGAGGGTTTCCCATCATCATGGAAAGCAAGGCAGCACCTGGTTTCCCTCCTCAGGCCCAAATACTCCCCCCCCCAACCCCCCGTTTTTTGAGACAGTGTTTCTCTGTGTAGCCCTGGCTGTCCTGGATCTCGCTCTGTAGACCAGGCTGGCCTTGAACTCACAGGGATCCACCTGCCTCTGCCTCCCGAGTGCTGGGATTAAAGGCGTGCGCCACCACTGCCTGGTTTGGCCCAAATACTTCTAACCATGCTACACTGTTTCTGTAAGTCACACTTTCATTTCCCTCCCAAATACCAAGGAATTGAGAACATCAAAGAAATCTAACTCATAATGAAAACAAGATTAAAAATTACTCATCACATCAAGGCATACAAACAGGTTAAAAAGCAGGAAGCAGAGAACCTATGATTTGTGTGTGCATTTGCATTGTTATAGGTATGACTTTTACAACACACTGAAAAATATAAAACTATTTATTTGAAGAGTTGATTTTAAAAAGAAAAACAAACTGTTAGTAAAAAAAACCCTATGATCCTTACTATATTTAACATATTCACCCGAGTGCATAACCTACCGTAACACATAACAAAATCTGAATATTAGCAGAGTTCAGAAAATATACAGGTTAATTAAAAATCACTGTTTGGGCCGGGTGGTGGTGGCGCACGCCTTTAATCCCAGCACTTGGGAGGCAGAGCCAGGCGGATCTCTGTGAGTTCGAGGCCAGCCTGGGCTACCAAGTGAGTTCCAGGAAAGGCGCAAAGCTACACAGAGAAACCCTGTCTCGAAAAAACCAAAAAAAACCAAAAAAAAAAAAAAAAAAAAAAAAAAAAATCACTGTTTGGGGACAGGTAGGATTAAAACCTACATATATCTGTTTTCTTTGTCTGCTTACACTTTAGGGTTTTGTTTGCTTGTTTGTTTTGTTTTTTAAGATTTATTTATTACGTATACAGTGTTCTGTCTGCATGTACACCTGCAAGCCAGAAGAGGGCACCAGATCTCATTACAGATGGTTGTGAGCCACCATATGGTTGCTGGCAATTGAACTCAGGATCTCCGGAAGAGCAGCCAGTGCTCTTAACCACTGAACCATCTCTCCAGCCCCTACTTTAGTATTTTAAAAATGAAGCCAGAAAAAAAAAAAAAACAACAACAAAAAAAACACCTGGGCAGTGGTGGCACACGCCTTTAAACCCAGCACTTAGGAGGCAGAGGCAGGTGGATCCCTGTGAGTTTGAGGCCAGCCTGGTCTACAGAGCGAGTTCCAGGACAGGCTCAAAGCTACACAGCAAAACTCTGTCTCAAAAAACTAACTAACTAACTAACTAAATAAGCCAGAAGTTCATTAATGCACTGTATACAGTACAGACTTTTTTCAGCACTGAGGATGGAACCCAGGGCCTTACACTTGCTAGGTAAGTGCTCTATCACTGAGCTACGTTCTGGACCCATGGCAAAATTTAAACAACCTAAATATTCCTTAATAGGGAAAATGAAGAATTTTTGTCATAAAAAAATATTATGTAATGGTTTGAATGGATAAACTCCAAATATATATATATCTCACAACCAGACTACATCTGACTTTTTCTTTTTTTTTAAAGACAAGGTCTCACTATGTAGCCCTGGCTGTCCTGGACTCCTTATGGAGACCAGGCTGTCCTGAACTCCTTATGGAGACCAGGTTGTCCTGGAACTCATCATGGAGACCAAGCTGTCCTGGAATTCATCATGGAGACCAGGCTGTCCTGAACTCCTTATGGAGACCAGGCTGTCCTGGAACTCATCATGCAGACCAGGCTGTCCTAGAGTTCATCATGCAGACCAGTCTGTCCTTGAGCTCACAGAGACCCATCTGCCTCTGCTCAAGTGCTGGGATTAAGGCACTGGGGTTAGATCAAGCACGACACAGTTTACTGTGAAGCACCAAGTACTCAGTGTACTATCTTCTTCCAGATTTTGAACGTTTTCATCAGAAACCCAGACCTACATTCTAAGTTTAACTGTGCTGACACCCTCCCCATCCTACTTTTATGAACAGCATATACATACAAGGAGTTGTAACACTGCACATCTCCACAGTACAAGAGACATGGGTGGCTTGTTTCCCCTCAGGCTCAACTGTCTGCCGCTCTTCACCCGTCACCAAGTCACACGGTACACCCTGGAAGAGAAAAAACAAAACAAAACCCAGACTTATCTCTGACTTGAAAATGGTAACAAAAGGTAGCCTAGGATGTTTAAAAGGATGCATTCCATTCCTATCAAACTTATTCAAATAGCTGAATAAAATATTCCCAATGCTTTTACACACATACTTACACACACACACATACACACACACACACACACACAGAACCACTTTGTTGTACACTTAAGATAAATTTGGAGAAACGTCCAATCAGAAGAACCCTCAGCAGAGAAACCATAGTGGTTCCTGATCCTTGAGACAGTCTCATGCAGCCCAGGCTGGCCTCAAACTTACTATGTAACCAACTATGATTTGAACTCCTCATCCTCCTGCCTCCAGCTCCCAAGTACTGGGATTATAGACATGCAGCAAGGCTCCCGGCTAACATTCTGGCTCTGGTGTCTGTTTCCTTTTGCAGTAATAGGTAGTGGATCCAGGCAGGTGCTCTACCACTGGGCTCCACCTTTCACTTCCACTCTGCACATTTCAGCACTGGTGGAATGAATGCGATCAACATGAACTGTTTCTACACTCAAGAACACCCCTATGAGTAAAGCTTGAGAATAAAGAGGCCTCACTTTAACTCCCCTGAAGAAACATCAGCGCCATGGCACAATGGGGTTCTCAACCACTCTAGGCATGGCTACAGGCATGGCTTTATTTTGGAGAATGCAGCGCTCTCCAAAATAAAGGATGCTTTGTGCTCAATCTGAGAAAGTCTAGTCAACAAGCAACTCGAGTATTTAAAACATAAAAAGGCTCCAAGGGGACAAAGACAGAATGAGGAATTCTGAAATTAATGTAAACTAGAAAAATGGGCACAGCATGTGAGGACTTAGATGGGAGCCTAGGAAGGACTAGAGAGACTGTTACTTGAGAACTGACATAGAAAAATATTTAGGATTTTTTTTTCTTTCCTTTTTTTCCCCCCCGAGACAGGGTTTCTCTGTGTAGTTTTGGTGCCTGTCCTAGATCTCGCTCTGTAGACCAGGCTGGCCTTGAACTCACAGAGATTCGCCTGGCTGTGCCTCCCGAGTGCTGGGATTAAAGGTGTGTGCCACCATGGCCTGGCGTTGATATTTTATTTTTTTCCTTAAGCATATGTGTGTGCTACCTGTAGAGACAGGAAGGTGTTGGGTCCCTTGGAGCTGGAGTTACAGGCACTTTGTGAGCTAGCCTACATGGATCCTCTGCAGGAGCAGCAAGCACTCTTAACCAGTGAAGTCATTTTTTCAGCCCAACAAAACTTGAATTTGAATATGGATTAAGTATTAAATAACAGTAGTCTATCAACTAAATATCCTTTCAGATAAATATTCTATAGTTAATGGAAAAAAATACATAAAAAATAAAAACCCAACCAAGTCTTCGTTTTGAAGACAAACATCCAAAATGTATGGATAAAGTATTACATATACAAAAAAAAGTAATCTTTTTTTTTAATGCAGAATACAAATTATCTAAACCAAACTGGCTAACGTCACATCATGCTATACTAAGATAATGAAAAGTGGCCCATTTAGTGAGACAATGCTCAGACCAAAGAGCTTCAGTCCAGTTTTGAAAACATGGCTCTAGTCCTGATGAGCAGTTCCAGCTCAGAGCATCCAAGTCTGATCTAACACTGCTAAGTACACATCCTGGCGAGGAACAGTTCAAAGAAAGTTTCAAATAACTGATGGTTTCTTTCTTGAAAAAGCAAATAAATTAAAAAAAAAAAAAAAAAAAAGGAAATGAAGCACATGTAGAGTTTGATGGTGGGTTCCTCATCATTCTCTCTACAATAAATATTCTAGTAATATTTAATCTCGTTCTCTGTACTAGGTGTTCATTGATGTTCTTTTGGTTTTCTGAAACAGGGCTTCCTATGTAGCTCAGGCTTGCCTCCTGCCTCCATATTCCAAGTGCTGGGATCACAGGCCTTTCCTCACATTTTCTCTGAACTAAGGATACAGCACATGGGTGGCATGTTGGAGTCCGGCATCTCTTCCTCCCGCAACTGGGTGGGGCACCATTACCTTTGACAACTGACGGCTTCTCAGGGCACTACACAGGCATTTCCTGTCAATAGTGAATTACTACGCAGTTTCCCCACCTCCACCTCCACCCCAACAAAGGAAAGTTATCAAGGAAATGAGCAAACACTTGGTAGTGTACTGACAGCAGCATTACTCTTATCAAAGATCTCGTGTGCCAGCAGTTTCAAAGGGCCACAGTACACTCCAGATTTCGCTGACAAGTATCTCTGGATTGCATGGTAAGTCTTTCCACTGTTGGTGGGGCCCGAGTGGAATATTATCTTCCGTTGTATGGCTCTGGCTTCTGGGTACCTAAAACATGAGTAGGTAAAGAATTAATTCTATTAACCTCATAACCAATCCTAGCAGACAGTCTTTGAAACTCACTGAAGGGATGTGTAACCACATTAAAATAACAAGACTTCCAGAATGGACTTACTGGAGAACCCCCAAATGCAAAAGAATGTTTTGGCTATCTCAAGGTTCTGAAAATGAGTTTAAACTGGCCCCATAGAGATGCTTACATCATTCCCACATTCCCACAACTCTGACCCTAAGACCCCAAAGGAAATACCCCCAGCCTAGTAATGTCAGTATTTATAAAGATAGTAACTGAGCCTCTGCTTCTGGCCACGTGGACTGACTGGGGAGGAGATGCCCCACCACCATCTGCAAACACAAAACGAGGCAAATACTGCAGTAACTCTTTGGGACAGAGACACAGGCAATGAGGACTAGACTCCTGACCGAAGGGGGCACTGGAGATGATCTTAAGACACCCCATCAGGACAAAGTGATGGAGGCCAAGCAAAGGACAACTGCCCTGAACAAGCAGGCCAGACTTAGAGCTGCTCAAGTGACTGCAATTTTTTTTTTTTAAAGACAGGGTTTCATGTAGCCTAGGTTGGCCTCCAACTTGCTATATAGCCAAGAATGACTGATTTTTTTTTCTTCTTTTTCTTGAGACAGAGTCTATGTAGCCCTGGCTAGCCTGGAACTCTCTATGTAGACCAGGCTGGCCTCGAACTTACAGGGATACTCCTTCCTGTTTCCTGAGTGTTGGGACTAAAGGTGTGCACCACCACGACCAGCAACTTTGAATTCTTAACCCTCTGCCTCTACCTCCCAAATGCTGGATTTGATGATGGATTACAGGCATCTACCACCATGCCTGGCTTTATTCAGTACTGGGCATCAAGTCTGGAGCTTTGTCCCTACTAAACAAATGACCTATCAACTGAGCAAACTCTCCAATCCAGATTGAAGCAGTTGGGATTTGAATGGCAGAATGTCAAAGAGCAAAAAAGATGCAAACAGTGGGAGCCCTGAAGTCACCGTGTGGATGGGAAGGGGGGTTCTGTGGGGTTTTGGCCAAGGGCTGGGCTAGACCTATGTACGGTGAGACCTGGCAGGGCCTAGAAGCAGCCCGCAGGATTTGAGTGGAGTGTCTCAAAGGCATCACAGTGCTAAGATGCTGAGCTCCGGCGATGGGGAAAGAACTATTACCATTCAGGCAGTCAGCTAAGACATCAGGACTACAACTTAGAACAATTTTGCAAAAGAAACTTTATCTGAAATCTGTCCTAAGAAAACCTTAATCCAAGCTCTATCAGGATGAAAGGGACATACCAATAAAATGTCTGACAGAATTAATCTCTTTGTTATTTTATTTTATTTTGTCTTCCGGAAAAACAAAATTTAGACTCTATAATTTATTATCTAGTATAAAACAAAAGCATCAACATTAGTTTCCCCAAATTAGGATATCCCATATCAGTAAGCACCAGAACTAACCAGTTGGGCGGGATCCTCAAGTCACTGATCTTACGGAGGTCATCCTTGCATTCCAATACAGGAAATATCTGTTTGGCATGTCTCAAGAAAAATGGAAATAAGTCGTCCACGTGGGCTGTAAAACAGCACAGTGCATTAGCATGCTCGCTCTGCATGAATGCTCCAAACTGAATCTCAAACTTGCAATCCTGGAACTCCTTTGTAGACCAGGCTAGCCTGGAAATGACCCAGGTTGGATTCCCAGCACCCACATGGCAGCTCACAACTGACTACAACTCCAGTCCTGGGGGATCTGATACCTTCCTCTGGCCTCTACAGACACCACGTGCACGTGGTGCACAGAAATATGTACAGGCACAATACCCGCACACATAAAATAAACATAATTAAAAGAAACCCAAGCAGGCCCAGGAGACAGCTCAGCAAGCAAAGGTACTGCTTTACAATCCTGGGAACCTACAGCGGGAAGAGAGCAGACTCCCAAAAGTTGCCCTCTGACCTCCAACCAAGCGCGCGCGCGCGCGCGCGCACGCACACACACACACACACACACACACACACACACACACACACACACACACACACGCGCGCGCGCGCTTTTTTCTCTTCTTCCCCCCTTCTCTATCTCACATACACAAAATAACTTTTTTTAAAGAATTCTCTAAGCACTTGCCTGCACTGAAGCAGATATCATTCAAGACAATGTGAACGTCCACATCCAGAGAATGGGATTGCATAATGTAATTTCTAAAGCTTATGAAAGCTTGGTGGAAGAGACGGGCTGTGGAAAACACAATATCAAAGCATACAAGACTTAGTCTTTATTTGCGTTCTCAATCTTAAAACATATACAGACCACAGCAAGCTCCAAGCGCCTATTAACAGTTTGGTAGCACAGTTGGTTTATTATAAGTTGGGCTAAAACTGAAACTAAACAGGACCCTGAGGCAGGCTGAACATGTAGCTCCTCCTGCACTGTGCAGTCTGGCTTGCAAGATGGGCTTGGGGGTCCCCAGAGAGACTTTTCTGCAGACTACAACTATGGACTGTAACTACATATAACAAAGTACAAAGTAAAATGTAACAATTCTATAAAGACGTTATTGGCAGAGCTGGAGAGACAGCTCAGTGGTTAAGAGTGCCCTTCCAGGGAAACAAGGTGCCATTCTCAGTGCCCACGTGGTGGCTCACAACCATCTCTTAACTCCAACTCCAGGGTATCCAACATCCTCTTCCATGGGCACTTCAGGAAAGTGGTACACAGGCAAAATACTCATAAAGTGATAAAAATAACTGAAAATAAATCTTAAAAAAGTTGTTGGCCTTACCATCAAGTCCATAGTCCGCACTCAGTTTTTGAATTTCTTGCCTCTTATAAAACTTGTCTAAGATCTTCTTTACTTCGTCTAAAAGAGAGATATGAAGTCACAACACTAAAGGTAGCAGCCTCAGGAATGCTGCAAGAACGTGAAGCTGTGAGCTGATCCCTCTTGGTGAGTTAGCGTGCAATGGAGTGTAAGGAAAATGACAGAACAAAACAACACAACATCCCTGTTCCACCGCAGACACACAAGGAGAGAACCAGCTCCACAGAGTGGTCTTCTAATGTCCACTTGTGCCCAAAGCTCCCAGAGGAGCCATCACTTCCAGGAAGAGGTGAGCCCTTCCACTTTCCAAGGCAGAAGTACCTCACTGCTAGCAGTAGTGTTGGCCATGGTGGCCCGTACCAGTAATCAGTCAGTGGCAATCCCCTGTCTGAGAACAGCCTGGGCTTCTTTTGAGGAGGGAAAGGGTAGAGGGGGAGGAAGGGGAAAGAAGAGGAGTACTATTTTGTTGATTAGTTGAAGACAGTACTGGGAAATGAACCTAGGGCACTGCACACATGCTTGGCAAGCGCTGTATCCCAGGGCTGTATCCTCAAGCTCATTTAGAAACAAACAAACTTAATTTTGAAACAGGATCTCTTTAAGTTACCCTAGCTGGTTTTGAACTCACTCTATAGCCCAGGCTAGCACTAAACTTACCATCCCTCTGCCTCAGACTCCCAAGATAAAGTTTGTTTTAAAGTCACAATAGGAAGCATCAATTTCACTTATTAAAGCCAGCTGCCTAAAGGTCGTCGTTCCTGGACAGCTTTTGTCTAGAAGACATGGTATTCTTTCAATCTTCAAGAATGTCATTCGGTTGGAGGGAACCTTTCACCCTCCTCGTCATACAGTGGCCATATAATCTGAAGCCCCGTTCCACTGAAAACATTTACACACTTGTCAAACTCACCCGAACCTAATTGGTAGGACAAAACCCACTGCCACCAGTGTTGCTAAGTTTTTGTTTTTTTGTTTTTTCTTCGTCTCTGGAACCTGGGAGGGTAGGGATGTCTACTACTCTTGGCAAGGACTCATTTATCAACTTCTATCTTGTATTTACATGTCGGTCTACCTCGTGGGAGAGTACATTTATTGAGAAATCGGAATCGGACACTCGTCGTCTTGGCAACAAGACGGCATCTTAACATTGTTAGACATCCGAGTCCAGTCAATGGCAAAGAATTCTGAAAGTCCTCGCTGTCATCCCTTCACGCCCTCTGAGGACCCGAGGAGCACAAGCGGCGCACCACTAAAGGACAACATTCTTTCCTAACCCTCTCAACCCAAGAGACGGAGTTTAACCACTCAGACGAAGGACGGGAAGGGTCAATGTCCCTATAAAGGGAGCTAATGAATTAGCTCCGAGTGCTGAGGGCTCCAGAAAGGAGCACACACCGCACTCCGCAGATCCGAGCCTCAAACTCTGCCGCTTCGCTGAGCGGCTCCAACACTCACTCTTGTCCAGGGGCCGAGTGAGCTCGGCACCCACGTCGCCGTCGGCGCTGGGACCCTGAGGCTTCACTGTCAGCGGCACGAACAAGGACGTGTTCGGGGCTTTGGAGCCCCCAGAGGCAGAGGAGGAGGCGGCTAGGCAGGGAACGCGTCCCGGAGCCCCGGGGAAAGGCCCCACGAGGGCGCGAAGGGCGGAGCGGGTGGCCGCCCGGGACGCAGCCCCGCGCCCCGCCGGGAGCCGAGCCCACAGCAGGGCACACCGAGGAAAGGACATCGAGGCCGCGGCTCCAACCCGAGCCGGGAGAAGCCCGGCGACTGGGCGCTGAACAGTGACGCGCGCCGGCGCCCGCAGAGCGAAAGGACCCAGAGCGGGAGCAGGGCTGTCCCAGTATGCGCCTGACCGTAAAGGAGATGTAAGGGCAGGAAGCTCGCTCTCTTCGAGGGAGAATGACGTCTGTAGGGTACACTGGAGGAAACAAGCTCCCATCCTCTCACGCTTTCTGCGGCAATTGGCAGCAGCTTTCTCCAAAGAAGGGGAGAATAATCAGGCATCTCTAGGGACGCCCCGGATGAGCCAAGGGGAAATCGTGCAAGCGTCGTCATGTGACCAAACTGGCCACTGCGGTGAGCCAGCATCCAGCAGCACGTGGCTTTAAACGCTAAAATTCATTCCCCAAGAAAATTGGTGTGTTATCGTCCTTAGTTCCCTGGTAGGATAACGTTGGAGGACATGACTTGACCTGTTACAGAGCAAGACGAGTTGCAGAGAAATTTCTTTGTACGACAGTAGGTAAAGTCCTTGTATGGCACATGTGTGTCCCTCCTCGGTGTTAGGACTCGATGACGGAACCATGAGCATGCTAGACATTTGCTCCACCATTGAGCTACAGGACTTAAACATTAATGTAAGCAGCTTGCACTCCTCACAACTCGAAAGTCAGAACAGGACAAAAGTAAACGCTGTGTACCTTCTTAAAAGATTAATCTCGTTTGTATTAGTTGGATACTGTTTCCTCCCGAGACTGAAACATATTAAGTTCAAAACAAACGGCCAGATGTTCCTTATACTCCTCCATTCCTACATTGTGATCTTGTAACTTTAAGTGACGTGTTATATAAGTAACATTCTGTGTCTAGTAGGATTCTTGAAACAGTTTGCTAAGTGCTTTTGATTTACAAGGTAACGTTAGAGATTTAAGAAGTCCTTTATGTTCGGTTGGAACCTCCGTCTCGCCCCTGCATGATCCGGAAAGCCCCATTTATGTCTCTGCCTGTCTCTGCCCCCAAGTCCCCCGCCCCCTCCCACACATACTCAGCCTCCGAACAAAGGAAAGGCGACAAAAAGTCCAGTTCCGAATTCTTAGCGGCTACTACAGCTTCCTCCCCTGAAGTTGCCAGCAGCTCAAGTCCCCATCTAATGCGCTCAGCTTTTGACCATACTAGGCACAAACCCAGCTTGTGGCGTACATGTCATCATCCCTTGCCTACAACCTATGAAGTCTCCCTGCTTTCATTTGTGGGCGCTGTTCTCTCGCCTCGATCTCTGGGACTGGAAACCCCGCCCAGAAGTTGCTTTGCTCAAATAAGCCCGTTGTTACACTTTTTCAGTTTGGCTTTCTCTGGCTTACTGTGTGGGTGGAGAAACCTATTTGGGGAGGGGGGGTGCAGAAAACTTATTACTTTACACTCAATTTCCGATCTGATTTTGGTGATAATGGTACCCGTTAAATAATGGAAGTATTTATTACTATAATGGGCTAACAGCATGTCCAGGTAGTAATTTCCAAAGCTACAATGAGATTTCTGCAGAATTAAAAGCAAACAAGAGACATGGAGAAATGATAAGTGAAGTCTAGTCCGAAGACAAATGTAAGTGGCCTAGAAATCAGGTTGCTGTTAAACCTGTAATTCGTTAAATCTGTAATTCGTGAGGAGAAAAGATCCAAGTCCGTGATTGTCCAGTTAAAGCAAGCTGTATTTGGGGGTGCACCCGGGACTGGCTCATTGCCTGCCTCACCCTAAGTCGGAATTTACAAGAGCAGCTCCCGCTGGCCTTTTAAGTCCCTCTTATAGGAGAGAGATAAGGTATTCACAGGGGCGAGAAGGTTGGCTGTTATATGCTGTTAAAAGGATACAATGAAAGGGGATGAACAAAGGCAAGAATATATATCAAGTGAATGGGGTTACAAGCAGTTTACATCAGACCTAAGAAACAAAAACTCTTTTTTTATTTTTTAATTTTAATTATTTCTGTTTGGTTTTTAGAGGCAGGGTTTCCCTGTGTAATAGCTCTGGCTGGCCTGGAACTCACTATGCCTCTGTCTCCCGAGTGCTGGGATTAAAGGCATATGCTACCACCGCCCGGCGAACTTACTCTTAACTACAAATAGAAACCTTATTTAGCACAAACAGGGACTTGTCCCTTAACTAGGACTCAGCACAGAGCAGACAGGAACTTTTTTTTTTAAAGATTTATTTATTATGTATAGTGTTTTATCTGCATATATGCTTATAGTCCAGAAGAGGGCACCAGATCGTCTGTCTCAAGGATACAAGAGCTGGTCTGTCCGCCAGGCTCTTTGACTTAGTGACAACCAGAAGTCAACCTGGGGTGTGCACCTCACCTTTCAAGAAGCAACCCACTGCCCTCTTCACCTGAGTTACAAGAGCAGTGTTAATCCCTGCCCTGGGATAACGACGGTTCCAGTAAGTTCTGCCCTCCTTGTCTTTTGTCTGCTGTCGGAGGGCCCTACTCCCTGTGGGGAGCAGTCCTCCTTGTCTGACAGCTCTCCTGAGCTTGGTGTAAAATGGATGACTCCCTCCCCCCATTGGGAGCTTCCTGCTCTCCACCTGACCTCATTTGGAAGCTTCTTTGAGCCCAGATGCCTGACTTATCAAGTGTGACCTTTGACATAGTTCCTTGCAGATGCTCTTCCCCTGCTGCCCATATGGTAATTAGGTATCGGACTCCAGCTGTATGACAGGAGCATGCTGCAAAGTGCAGACTAGGTGATGTCCGGCTACTCTTCCCAACCTATATATTCCCTTCACTCTGAAGTAAAGTTGAGCCGCAGCACTGAAGCAGACTCCTGGAAGGCTATTCCCGCCTTACTCACAGGCTGTAAAGCCCTGCACGCCACCTCTGCTCCCTTTGCCCTTGCAGAGTGGTAGCCAACAGACCACCAGGAAAAAGGGGAGACCCCACGGTCTGCAAACTACCCTCCCTCCTTTCTTCTGAGGACAAGAGTTCTCCAGGTGGATGAGCAAGTACACTCCTGTCCTGGACCCAAAGGTCTCCCTTAATACCACCCCATCTTCTTGCCACCTTCTCCGTCTGATCCCTTTGACCTTTTGCTTCCTGGAGTCACATAAACTTTTCTCTACAATGGGGGCCAACCATTCCAAACCTCTCCTACAATGCATGTTCAAGAATTTTCCCCACAGTTTTGGGGACAATTATTGTGTTAGCCTCACTAAGGGGAAACTGTGCTTTTTTGTGAGGTCAGTTGGCCCTCATATAAGGTGGGCTGGCCAGTAGCTGGCTCTCTGGACCCCACTGCTGCTTGAGTCATCTGGCTCAACGTCACAGGTACCCCAGAGCCTCAGTCAGTTCCCTTATATGGATCATTGGCTGTTGGACAAAATCCCTGTGCCTGGCTCAAAGTCTGTGCTCTCCAAACCTAGCCTACTCTCCTAGTCCAGTTTCCCCACTTTGCAAACTGAAGATTCCCTTCCTCTGCCTCACAATTCTCACCCTACTCCCGGGTTCTTCCCACTCCTTCCTAACTAACTCCACCTCCCTCCTCTTCCTCCTGCCTCTCCTTGTCCACTCCCCCACACTGAACTTGAAAATTCAAAGACTTGGTCAGGCATATCGGTATACAAAATTAATCCCAGCACTCTGTAGGCAGAGGCAAGAGTATCTCCAAGTTTGAGGCCAGCCTGGTCCATACAGAGTTCCAGGCTAGCTAAGTATACTGAGAACCTGTCTTAAAAAAACAAAGTTCCCTGGGACAGTCTTACTGGAAGGTAAGTCAAGTGGAGCAAGGGTGGGAAGCAGCAGTGTGTATGGAGTTGGACAGAACTAGAGCTGAAGAGGTCTTCTGCAGTGTAGTCTGACCATGCTAGTCAGCAGCCAGCTTCTAACAATTTCAGAACATCCAAGTCTTTAAAAAAAAAAAAAACGTATTTAAGGGTATTTTCCGCACTATGCTTTTGCTTATGGCTGAAAATTTAAAATCTGTAAAGTTCCAGCAGAGGTATAAGCCACTAGAGGGTGCTTTCATACGTGATCAACAGATTCAACCAATATAAATGGTACAGCAAATAACTTTGCTCATTACACTGTAACTGAAATTTAGTATCACAACTACCATATCCATACTGAAGAGGTTCAGATATGCCACTGATACCCACCCAGGAGCTGACCAGGGAAGACTGACTTATTCCTAAGCAGTAAGTGGGTACCATGCCTAAGCCTCACAGAAACCTCTGCAGCTCGCCTAAGATACCACTCTTTAAGAAGGTACATAAGCACCAAGTCTTACCCACTCCCTTTGAGTTGTAGTTTGTGAACCTTCACAGGTGTGTGGTTACATAGGCCTTCCTCTTGTGTCCATCACTTAGTGTGGAAGGCATGGTGATTCATGTCTGTAAACCCAGCATTCAAGAGGCTGAGACAGAGTAGTGTCTAACTGCAAACAGAGACCTTGTCTCAAACAATAGGGGAAAAATCCTTTCATCCCCAACTATGTCAAATAAGAAAACTTCATTAATGGGAAAACCAAACATTTAAATGGGGCTGAGAATATAGTTGAATTGCTAGAGTGCTTGCCTAGCATGTATGAAGCCTTTGGTCCAATCTAGCATCTTATAAACCAGGAGGCAGAGGGACTCAAGTCTGAGGTTAGAGCTAGGGTTGTACCTCAATTGACAGAGTGCCTGCTTAGCGTGCACAAAGCCCTGAGTCAGGAAGTCCAAGTACCACGTGAACCAGGCATCCTGGTGATGCCTACATCAACGTGTGTGTGTGGGGGGGGGGGGGGGGGGGGACGACAGAAGGATCAGAAGTTAAAGATCACCTTGGTTACATAAGGAGTTCAAAGCTAACCTGGGCTACAAGACCCTATTTTAATTTTTTGTTTGTTTCTTTTTCCAGACAGTCTCTCTCTGTAACAGCCCTGGCTGTCCTGGAACTCTTCTATGTAGACCAGGCTGGCCTCAAACTCACAGAGATCCATCTGCCTCTGCCATCCGAGTGTTGGGCTTTAATTTTGTTTTAAAAGTATTTTGAGGTCATCCTCAGCTATCTAGTGAATTTGAGACCAGTTCTGCCTGTATGAGACCATCTTAAAACAAGAAACATGTTCACTGTCTCTTTAACCCTGGGTAGTTTCGTTTTTATGTTAGGTCCCAATACATAGGAAAAAAATGTTTTTTGGAGATAGAGCCTCATATAGCTCTAACTAGATTGGAATTCACTATGTAGATCAAGCTGCCCTTGAACTTGTGGTAATCCTCCTGCCTCTGCATCTCAAGTGCTGAGATTACAGGTATGTACCACTACTCCCAGTGAGATTCTGATTTTACCGTCTAGGTAGAACGTAGGCATGACCATCTTTTTAGAGCTCTTGAAGTGATCCTGACATTGGAGTGAGATTGAGAACCACTGTGACACTGTGACACTACATCACTGGACAAATTTAGCTTGTAGTTTGATGGTTTTTATTTACCAGCTTTTGACTAAAATCCCAAAACTGAATTCCAAAAAAAATTTAAATTGATTATACACCAGAAAGTCTTAGGTGGAGTGAATCAGCATTTTATGTAAGTTTTAAGCAAACTAGTTAAAACTGAAGCGCTGGAGCCGGAGAGATGGCTCAGTGGTTAACAGCAAGCACATGGGGCTGCTTCCAGCACCCACATGGGGGCTCACAACCACCTGTAACTTCAGCTCCAGGGGGTCTAATGCCCTCCTCTGCCCTGCCTGGACACTGCCCACATGTCTGGACAGACAGACATGCAGGCAAAACAGCAATACACATAAAATAAAAAACAGAATAAACCTTCACAAACCTTAAGCTTCATACTATTTATAAAAACTCACTGTTACGACTATGTCTTCCTGAACCACTGGACAAGCCTGTGTTCAACCTACTAACAATGAGAAGGTTTGAGAATAAAGTCATTTTACTCAGACTACAAGTTTCTGTTTCAAATTATTTATTATATATCATAGTTGCACAACTTGAGGCCG